CACGTGATGTACGACCTTGGAGACTTGGTTTTTACCGAACAAGTCTTGTTTTCACTATTTTATACCATATACAATGTTTTTCAAACTTGGTTTTTACTTTTGGGAACACTTCGTTTTTGGACCTCGGTTTTTCAAAACGGGTTTCAGCTGGCTAGACTTTAGCTGGGTGATAATCGATTATCACCTTAGTGACAATCGACTATCAGCCCCTGCAGCTTTGAACTTCCAAAGTTCTGAAGCACTTAATAATCGATTATCACTTATGCAATAATCGATTATCAGTCTTTGCAGCCAAAACCCAGAATCTTCTGAGAGGACCAATAATCGATTATCACTTGTTGACAATCGATTATCTGGGTTACCGTTGTCCTCCAACGGATAGTTTTTTAAACTTTTGGACAGGGAATCTTTTAATAATCGATTATCATGTCTAGACAATCGATTATCACCCTGCAACTCTGAAAAATTTGTCTTCGTCCTGTTGGAAAATTTAGCAACGGTTTTATCCCATTTTGGGCTATAAAAAGGCACCCAAATCCTCTCATTTTATACACAATTCTTCAACATTTCAATACTCTTTCATTGCATAATCATTCCTATTTTTCTTAGCTATTTGAGAGCCTATTCTTGAAGAAATTGTCGTGTTCTTGAGCGTTTACTAGTTCACTCATATCTACTCTTTGTGAGAGTTTTATTCCTGAGTGTTTAAGTGTTTGTATACACTTTAAGGGAGGTTGTTCCCTTGTTGTAAACTCGAAGGAAGTTCTTTGTTCCTTCATGAGAAGTCTTGGAGTGCGGTATCTCCAAGCAAAGGTGTTGAGGCTCGTGTGACTCGAGTTCTCAAGTTGTATCGGTTTGTTAAGCACCCTTAAGCTTAACGGAGTTAGTGTAGCTCGAGAGAGTCTCTCGGGAGGCTGGATTAGCCACACGTTGTGGTGAACCAGGATAAAATTCGGTGTGCTCCTTCCTTACGCTCTTTACTTTTACGCCCTCGTTTTTAATTTCCTGCGATTTTGTTTTAAACGCTATTCACCCCCCCTCTAGCGTTGGGCCTTTATTCTAACAATGATAAATCCGGAGTATTTATTTAGTAACAACGGCAACCATAATTATTTTATAGTATGTTTACCCAATTTAATGGTGTAAAAATACAACTCGATAATTATGTCCACCCGAAAGTCTTCAATCCCGGTTAAAGGTAGAGAAGGCTTACGGTGTATTTAAAAAGTGTTCTATTTTATGATTATATCAATTTTAGCTCATATTCATTGTAACAATTATGTTTATGATTGGGCCCTTAATTATAAATCACAAACATTCCAAATTTATTTATTTTTAAATACAACATCTAATTAAATAAAATAAAATTAACAATCCATATTAAAAATATTCAAAACATTAAGATGGACAATTAATTACACCAACTTCTAACCCCAATGGAATTTTGAAGTTTATAATTTGAAGCTTAAACAAATAAATATTTATTACAATAATAAAAATCTTAAAAAAATGGAAGATGTGTTCTTGAGCTCCAAATGTAATAAATGGTGTTGATGATGATGAAGATGGAGTGATTTTTATGTGTTTGGAGGAAGAAAGTGGTGAGATATTAATGAGGGAGGAAGAGAATTTCGAAATAGAGGGAGGAGAGAAAATGGGGGTTCCAACCTCTTAGGGGAAGAGAGGAGATGAGATTACAGTAGCATAAAAGGACAAAACATCTCATGTAGCTCACATAGAAACGTAGCTAAATGTTGGCCGTGTGATGCTGAGTTCGAATCTTCCCACCGTCTCCTATTTTGTCATTTTTCTTTGACCACCGTCTCCTATTCATGGACCGAATACAAAATAGAACATATATTTTGTTTTCCAGGAATATGCCGAACAAATCGTAGCCGCTTGATGGTCAGAGCCTCAGTTCCACATGCTGACATCCAGAGTTCGAATCCCAGGGGCGTTTTAATTCAATTCGGACTCAAAATGTGCATATCAATTAAAAAAACCAATCATTAGAAAATATGGATGTTATGCGACAAATATATTATACTCTTTCTATATATTACATAATTCTATATAACATGCTACAAATTTCACATCACATAAAATCTTAATACCAATATTCCCTTCACTTATACTACTTGAATTCCAAATTATATACGTTACATAACTATACATAACATGCTAGAAAATTCATATCACATAAAATCTTAATACCAATAATAATACTCCATTTGTCCCATATTATTATTATGTATATCATTAATCTATACTACTCCCTCCGTCCTAAAACTTTCTTCCCACTTCCCTTTTTTCCCCGTCCTAAAACCAACTTCCCATTAGAAAAAAAAGATCACAAATGACATTAATACCCTCATGTATTTACACCAATTATCTTTTAACTCTATATTTTGAATGATTGCAAAAAAAAATTCAAAAAATCTTTTTTAAGGAGGGTAAAATTTGAAGTCAAAGCCAAAAATTAAAAATGGGAAAAAGTCAAACTGGAAAGAAAGAATTAGGACGGAGGGAGTATATACAAAAGCAAAAGAATTCAAGAAAGAAAAAAAAAGAAAAAAAATTGTGTTTTCCCGTCCAGTTATCCACCGTTGATAAGCTTTGGAATATTTCATCAACGACCTTCATCAAGCCTTGGAAATTGGAATCCACCGCATTAATTTTGTCAGCCGCCCACTTTGGTGAGTAAATGACGAACATATGTAAGAAAATAAAATTTCATTCTTGATAGTGTAAGTCAGACATTTTTTTCCTAATAATGCAAAACGGATTTGGCTACTCCGTTTCTATTCAAAAATTTTATAAGGATTTTGCTTGATTTAATTGCCAAATGGAGTTGGCAAATCCTTTTTGCTATTTTTTTTGCCAACAAAGTTGGCTAATCGGTTTGCCCTTTTTTTCTTCATCATGCAAATCCTTTTTTTTCTTTATCATTTTAAATCACCTTCCCTTTTTTGCTCAAATAATTTTTGTTACTTATAAATAAATTATAAAATTTAAAAATAAAATATTTTTCTATATCATTAAAATATTTTTGTTCATAATTTTTTTTGATAATTTTATTTATCATTAAATAATATATACTCTAATAAAATTTAATAATAAAACTACTATTTATTAACTTTAAGTGTAACACCCCAACCCGCGTGACCCAAACCAACGGATTAGCGAACCGGGTTGTTACTAAATTGGTATTCGCATGCACAATATTTTTTTAAGAAAATAATCAGCTGAATAAATTATAAAATTCATCCGTGAGAGTTCAAAACTAAACCAAAATTTATCAGAGTAATAAACAAGTCCAAACGTCGCGGAAGCATAATAAAACCAAAGTAACGTCCAACAGTCCATGAAATCCATTAAAATAATGTGGTTTAATTATTAAAGTAGTTAAGAGCCATCCACGCCACACCACCACTTCACTGCCCTCCGGGTTGCCCATCAAAATCAGTGTTCCTACCTGCGTGCAGTCAAACAACAACGACTACACGCTCAGCGAATTGCTGAGTGATAATATACCTAAGCTAGCATTAACTCACAGATTAGCACCACATTAACATACAATCACAACAGCAAGTGGTCACGGAGAAAGAACATAGCTTAAATAAACATATTTATTTTAACACCTTCTATTTGAACATCATATCCTTGTTTTATTCCACATCAACTACTTTGAGTCATGGCACCCCAAGCGATGCTATAAAAGGGCCAGCTCAGAAACCCAAAGGAGATTCACTTTGGGCGGGTTGAAGCCCCTATCCCTGCGATGCCAGGACAGGTCGCGGACTTCCGTACGTACGTTTTTAACCCAAGACCACCGGGGGTGCGACGACGCCCCGCAATAGCCAACTTCCTAACCATATCCTATTGGTGATTCAAACAGTCAATCCAATTCAGGTCCGCCTAATTATAATAGGTGGCCTATTTCTCATATTTTATTCATAATCCACAATCTTCACCAATAAGATCAATTTAAATTAAATCTCAATTCACAATTCACAACAAACCACGTAGCGGCCTATCCGGGCCGAAGACCCATGATTACCGTCATGCATAATCAAACAAACCCAAATCACAGTCAGCCCAACTTACCTGCGCGAAATCGAGCCCAAAGAATCGACCCTCGGGCCCGCTGCCCCCGCCGGAGAAGTCCCCATAGTCGCCGGAACAACCCCGGCACCCCGCCGGTAGCCGCCCCGGCTGCCCAAATCCAAAGCCAGACCAAGCAGCCCCGTTTGGTATTTCCTGGCCACCCAAACAGCCTCAAACAAGCCCAATTGCATCAATTTGAGTCCCAACAGACTCGATTACACCCAATTGCACCCAAACGGACCCGATTGAACCCAATTAGACCCAAATTGAATCCAATGGAAACTAATCGGGCCCAATTGAATTCCCCCATAGCCAACCCAAGCAACTGCCGGAGCCCTGACCGGACTAGCGACGTCCGCCGGCGGCTTCTCACCGGAATTCGGCGGTGTTCAACCCCCAATTTCTTCAAACCCAACCAATTTCATCAATTAACAATCAAATTCACAATCAATTACTAAATTATACGTTAAGGAAGTTCTAATCTACGAATTAACGCTAACGGAAGGTATAGAAACCACGAATCACCTCGAATTAGGAACCAAATCGAAAGAGAGAAGCTCGCCGCTGCACTCCCTGTTGCAGCCGAATCTACCGTGCGACGGGGAAGGAAGAGCGGCGACGGCGGCTACGGCGTTCGGCGAGGGCGGCGTCGGCGGAGCTCGGCGGCACTGCTGCTGCTGGCTGACGGGACGACGAAGGAGAAACGGACGCAGAGCAGAGACACGAGCAGGGATGGTAAGTCTCGTAACCCCCTTTCATATTTAATATAAAATTAAATAGAATTTTAGGGTCTAGTTTACACTTTTCTAACCAGTTAGGATGTATTTAAACCCAATTACCTTATTCGGTAGTCATATCTTGGGCCTAGTAGGTCCAATTCGCAATCCGTTCACGCGGTCGGGTTCAGAACTTCAAGTCCTACAACGTAGGTCAACTCTCATATTAAATACGTAAATTAGAAAATAATCTTCATTTTGACCAACTTAGTAATTAATTAATTATATAAAATAATTAAAAATACCAAGCCGGGTTTTGGGGCGTTACATTAATTAAATTTAATACTCTCTCCGTCCCATTTCAAATTGTCTGTATGAAATTTATTGATAGAGTACATATAATTTATTCCTAAAAAGAAGATTACAAAACACAATCTATGACAAACTTATTTGGTAAATTTAATAATACATAAACTCAAACATAACTTAAATTCATGACATAGTTATTCATCGTTGTGATGTCTCCGTGGTCAATAGTCCATGTTATTCATAACTGAAAATCTTTATATCAAATTTGTTCATAAAATATACCGTTGGATTCGTCTTTTCGAGACCCATCTATAAAAGTCAATCTTAACAAAAATCATTGACTCCAAAAATTCCTACATTTTTAGTCAACCATAGAAACAATGCTTTGTTGGGTCAAATAATTGTTTATAAAAGGAAAAATTACCCAAAATAATCTCAACTTTACCCGGTCTTTCAAAAATAATCTCACCTTTCACTGTGATGTATAATAATCCCAACTTTACTGAAATTTGCCAGTTTTACTTTCTACCTCCATCATAATTTCTTTTTCCTTTTTTAAAGATTAGTCTTAGTTTAAAAAATAAAAATAATAGATATAAAAAATGAAAAAATGAGAAATGTAACTAAAATGATACAAAAATAATAAAATAAATAAGGTAATCAATGGAAACTAACTTAAATTTGGTAAAAGTAAAATAAAAATATACGGGTGGGTTTTAATATTTTACGCATTATACAAAGTATTNATAATAATCCCAACTTTACTGAAATTTGCCAGTTTTACTTTCTACCTCCATCATAATTTCTTTTTCCTTTTTTAAAGATTAGTCTTAGTTTAAAAAATAAAAATAATAGATATAAAAAATGAAAAAATGAGAAATGTAACTAAAATGATACAAAAATAATAAAATAAATAAGGTAATCAATGGAAACTAACTTAAATTTGGTAAAAGTAAAATAAAAATATACGGGTGGGTTTTAATATTTTACGCATTATACAAAGTATTAACATATCACTTCTTATATTTTAGAAAAAATTATCTACAATAATTCCAACTTTACCGGACGACTTGTTCTTTTAAAAAATAAGTAGTACATTAAGAGTCTGTATAGTTGGGATTATTTTGGGTAATTTTTCATTTATAAAATAGAATAACTTCTCGAACATGTTTTGGGACATTACATTTTTTTTAAATTTTATTATTGTATATTTATTTAATGATAAATAAAATTATCAAAAAAAATTATGAACAAAAACATTTTAATGATAAATAAAAGTATTTTATTTTTAAGTTTTATAATTTATTTATAAGTGACAAAAATTATTTGAACAAAAAAAAATTTAAAGTAAAAAATATTTGAACAAATAAGTGAAGGTGATTATGATAAAGAAAACTATAAAAAAAAGAAAGAAAAACGGATTAGGCAACTTAGCAAAAAACTAAATGGAATAGTTTTAGCCAACAAATTAATGGAATATGGTGGAACCCAGTAGGGTTGTTCGTGTTTAGGTCTAGACCAAAAAAACCGACCGAACCGGACCGATCGGTCCACACCGAAACCGGACCGATTGTATTTCGGGTCGGTCTTCGGTCCACCAATTTTAAGATTTCGGGTTTTAGTCCGGTCCGGTCCAAACCCGAATACTGTTCGGTCCAGACCTAAAAGACCGAGACCATTAATTTTACCAGAAAATTACTATTAGGTACCCTAGGTTTTGTGGTAAAGACTGTAAGGTCCCATATTATAAAAAATTACTTGAGGGTCCTCTAAAATTTAATGTTTAAGACTGGGGGGTGTTTCCGTCTAACCCATCGTCAACCCACCGTCAGTAGAAATGATTTATCTATTTTACCCTTATTTATTTCCTAAATAAATGGTGGCCTCAAACCTTCTTACCATATTCACCTTATCCAGTTGCCTTCGCCTTCCTCCTGCTCTCTGTTTAGCATGTCCAACAATCTTCTTCCCCATCAAAGTTATTGACCCTCTTCTCTATGGTATGGAATGCTCAGACTCATCATTATTATTGTAGATGTTTTTTTAATTTTTTTTCCTGACGATGATGCTGTTTTTTTTTAAATTTTTTTTTCTCAAATCTCATTGTCATCTTTACGTAGGTTTTAAATATGTAGAAAATAAAAGTTTGAGAATAAAAGATTATAAGGTTTAAGAGAAACACCTCCAAGATTTAAGAGAAAAAAATTGAAATTTTATAGCAGTAGCTAAGCTCTTAAGCTCTTGATGTTGGTTATTTTAGTGGTAGCTAAATGTTGTATGTTCCAACCTAAGGTATTTGTTTTTAAAATAGATTTATTCTTAGTATTTGTACATCCTATATTATGAAGTTGGTGATGCTTAATTTGGGTGCTTTATATGTTTAGGCACCTACAGGATTTAAAGTATATGTAAGGGACAAATGCATTGCAATAGAAGATGTGGATTTGGATATGTATTACACTAAAGATTTGTATGCTGATGTTATTAAGCTGGCCCAAAAATAGAATATTTGCCTCCCTAAGTATATTGGCTTCAGATATCACCCTCCATTCAAAGAGCTTGCACGTGAGAGTCTCGCAACTGATTTAGATTGGAATACGATGGTTGGGTATTGGGGGGAGGAGGCTTTATCCACATCTTACATACCGTTGTTTGTTATTGAGTTGCAAGAGGCGAGTCCACTACAACTTATGGCTGAGAGGGTTGAGCCTAGTTCCCAAACCTCAATAGACCTGAATATAATGGATCTTGAGCAATGGGTTGATGATTTGGTAATAACCCCTGTTGATTTAAGTCAGATTCCAAACTGTGACCCAAAGAGCACTAATTTAACAAAGTTACCCGTGAAGAGGGCACATGAAGTACTACTCCTACATCAATCCAGCCCTAGTCAATCACTTTTAAATGCCTCCTCCACACCCACTGCTGCTATATCACAAGCACTTATACACACACCTGCTGATTTAGACTCCAACACATATGATGATGTTGAAAGTGCGTGTAGGGTGGTGAAACACAGAAGGAAGGTGACACAAACTTCATGGATGGTAACACAAACTTCACAGTTTGTGTCATGGATGGTAACACAAACTTCACAGTTAGACTTCGAGACCATGCATGCGATTGCAACAAGTGGCAGGTGACAGGCTTGCCTTGCAAACATGCGACTAGATGCATATTAAGGCTAAATGAGAAACTGGAGGACTATTGCTCCCATTGGTTTTCTGTGGAGAAGTACAAAGGGCTTTATGATGGAATCATCCACCCCATTCCAGACTCATGCATGTGGGGGGAAAGCTCGGAACCAACATTGGATCCGCCAAGGGAACACAAAAAGAAGGGAAGGCCAAAGAAACACAAAAGGAGAGAAGGGGTTGATGATCTCAGGATCAAGAAAAAGGGCTTTGCTCATGGGACCAAGAGATGCAGTAAATGTAAGCAGCTTGGGCACAACCATAGGACATGTGGACAAAAAAGGGATGAAGATGGGCACTTGTTGAAGAAGTATTTTAGGAAGAAGAAAGTGCCTGAAAAAGAAAAGGCTTCAGTGCTTTAATTGGTAGTTTTTTTTTTTTTGCTTCATTTTGGTTTATTTGTTAGCAACACTATAATCTGGGTAATTTTTGTTCATGTTGAAAACTTTTTTTTGCAACCCCAGGTATATGTACCAGTTGTACATGGTAGGGTTTTTGAAACTTGGCATGTAACTTTTTTGGGGTTTTTGCACCTACACAATGCTTATGTAAGTGGGTACTTGTTTGGAAGTAATGAATGGTATATTGTTTACTTATGTTTCTTGAAATTTCGTACTTGACTATGATTCACAAAAGAATACCACAACAAATGCTGGAATATTGAGTTGTAGGGATGAGCGTTGGACGGTATTTGTTCGTACTGATACCGTATCAAATATTTAGGTTCGGTATGGAATTTTAAATTTTACCGATACCGATCCTGAAGAATTGGTTCGGTATGGTACGGGATAGTTCGGTTTCGGTAAATATTGAGATGAATATATGTGTACCTAATTTACAATATGAAATGTATAATTTTTTATTCGGTATGAAAAGTTATCTCGTACCGATCTCAATACCGAACCGACAATTCAGTTCAGTATGATATGATTCTTTTTTGGTATTTTATCAGTTCGGTAGTCTCAATTTTTTCAAGATCGATTCGATACTTGCTCACCCCAATTGAGTTGTAAACAGGCCAAAGGAGGAAACTAAATGGTGCCAAAGGAGGAAACTAAATCAGTTCGGAGAAAATGCATAAGGACATGAACAGGTGTTCTAGATTGAAATGGGTGGTGTTGAATTTAATTTGAAGGAGAATAGTGGGGGTTATAATGGGAATTGCAAAGGTTTATTTATTAGAGAAAACGGCAGCTTGGTTCCTAACGGAGAGTTAGATGGGAACGACCCTCTCAGTCCTAAACATCTAATTTTAATGTACCCCTGAGTAATTTTTAATAATTTGGGACCTCACAGTCTTTACACAAAACCTAATGTACGTAATTTTCTGTTAATTTTACGGAGTAATTCTATCTTTCTATCCGCCTATCCCTTCCTCAGAAATCAGAATCGTCACTCTTCCTATTCTCCCACTTTCCCAAAATTTCTCCACCTCTCCCTTCTCCAATTCCAAATCTCCAATTCCCTTCCCATAATCGGCAATAAGAGGCGCAAATCGCTGACCGTCGTTCGCAAATCGCAAACCGCAGAGGCGCTGGCCGAGTGACCGTCCGAGCTGCAATCGCCGGTGACTCCAGCCTCCACGCCTCAAGGTGCTTCGCCAATCGCTAATTGCCTGACGCCGCCGGTCTATCAAGTATCAAGAACAACGAAGATTTAAGATTTTGGGTGATTATCTTTTTACCTTTCTCTTGATTTAATTTCTATCTTTCAAGTTTCAAAATTGATTTCACATCTTTATTCAGTTTATATTTTTATCCATATTTAAATTATTAATTAACTTCACCTTCTAGTGTGCTGTAATTATTATTAATTTTTTTATTTATGAAATTATTTTGAGATTCTTCAATTCAAATGAGAATACAAGAAAAAACACCATTTTGAAATCTGGGATCACAAAAAAATCAGAAAGAATGTTTTTTTTTAAATTTTATTATCTTGAAGTTTCATTGCTAGAGCTGTTGTATTTTTTGTGTAAAGTTTCAAATATTTGGGAAATCTTTTTTCAATTCATTATTGAAATTAATAATACGAGTATTAGATTTTGAAAAAAAGAGTAGAAGTTTATGCATTCCTTCTCTTAAAACTTTCTTTTCTATTAAAACTTGGGATGTTCTTTATCTATCCACAATAAAATCAAATGGAGTACTGGACAGTTATTCAACTTTTGGAAGTAGTTTTGATTGACAGAATTGTTGGAAGTTACATTTTAATTTTAAGTTTCTGACTTGCTCTATATTTTTTGGGGCTTTTATTTGTTTGTGTGCAGTTTATATAGAATGAAACGAAGGGCAGATCTTATGGAAACTGAGCAAAGTCCTTCACCTAATGTGGTTTGTCAACAGACGGAGTATAGAAGATGTGAGTATAGAAGATGACTTGATCTTCGTGACGGAATAAATAGCTCAGTTTTTGTTCCACCTCCAGCCACTTCCCCCCTGTTCTTTTCCTTTCCTGCCTGGGTGTCTTTTTTTGGACTTACTAGTTCTCTAACCCGTGCTTTGCACGGACAGTATTTTGAGCCAGTGAAAGAAAATAAAAATAAATTTATAGTGTATATAATATAAAGACAACGAAACGAAATTGTATTCAATATAAATATTAAAAGTATTATATACTAATATTAAAAAATGCATAGTGAAGACAAAAAAACAAAATTAAAGGTTTTGAGTGAATTACATAAATCTATTTGAGTAAATAAAAGTACTTTAAAAGTGGTGCAAGCTATGCTTTGAAAACATTACCTCACACTTGATCTAGAATACTCCACAATTTATTATTTTTTTAACGATGGACCTCTTTGTTCTCTCGAAATAATAAAAGAATTAAAAATAGACTAAAATTTGAAGATAAATAGCCAAATTGAAATATTTGGAACCTGAAATTGAGACAAAAACTATGGAAATGTCATAATCTCTATACGGATCTCGAATTTAAGTTACACTTTTCCATAAACTTTATCACTTTTCCATAAACTTTTATATTTTCCCATAAAATATTTATTTAAATTACACTTTTTCATAAA